CTACTAATAGTTGTTTCCTGGTGACCACTAGTTATCAATATCTATAAAATCGGGTAACATTCATAAGGGATACGTATCACTTCATATTATTGCGTATAAGATAGTCATTCCGATATAGAGTATTTTCGAATAGATAGCATTCTTCGATATTTTCTGTTTGGCTAACCTACCATTGTATGGTAACTTCTCATATTGAGATGTTGGGAAATAAGACAGTACCTACTACCAGAGTAAATGAAAATGTGTCATAAAGTAAACCAAGGAGATACCCTTAAGATAACTGTTGCCGAAGAATATACTCGCCATCAGTTATTATCCTCCATGACTCTGAGAGTGATCAAACACGGTGTTATTATCTGAATATTCCTCTCCTCGTGAGTATCCACTTCCTGTCATATCCCAGGAACTAGCCAGTGGACCAAAGCTGGGGCACCCGAGTTCATCGCTATTCGCGATTAGCCCTTCCGGAGGGTTGAACTCTGTTCCCTGCTGTGAGGATGAATCCGGTACAGGGAAGTTTGTGTAATATGTCGAGTCTCCTGTGAGGTTTGACGGTTCTACTAATGATCGTGGTTGAAACTCTAGGGGATATGAGTTGGGCAAATAAGGAGGCTCGTGCATATACATCGAATAGCCGGCTTGAGCCACGTCATCGACATTCGAGCCAGGTACGCTCCCGTATAACTGAAGTGAGCCTACTGGCTGTTCAGGCTGCATGGGATAGTATCCGTGAAGCCCCGTTTGGGGTTGGTTTATAGGAAGGTTACTAGTATCGACACTAGAGTCAACGCCCGCGTTAACTCCTGCGTTGACGCCTTCATTGAACGCATCCCAAATGGCCATAAATACCGGACTCGGTAGATTATTTAGAGACGTTGGTGGTTCTGAAGCGATATCTGCTTCACTTGGAAGATAGGACGAGGTAGATTGAGTGGCATCTACCATAGCCGAGATTAGCATTATTAGACAAAGGGTATTAGTTGACTCACAGGGACATGGAGTGTTATTGTCATATGGAAAGAGAATTTTATAGATATTTTTCCATTTTTCACCATCTGAAATGTTTCTCCATCGAGCCTTAAGGTCTTCTGCCTGCCTTTGACCGTATCCCTGACCCCAATCGTACATCTCGTCGAAGACAATAGGGTCCTGCCTATTGCAGATCTCATCCTGCTGTAGGTGTACTTCTACTCCCTCCTCTGTATTATAGCTTTCCTGGCATCTCGGGCAACGGAAAATTCTATGCGCGCGTTTTAGGTGTTCTCTTACTTTAACGTCAGCGGGATCAATATAAACAGTACGTACCAATTAACATACTTTAGCCTATAAATTTCCTCATAGCTTGTGAAGGCGCATGAAGCTTTCGATGCGAACCGTTCCGGATCTCGTCGGTAAAACGGACAGGCAAAGCTCACAGGTTGTTCCGATGACCCTACCTGTGTCCCATGGCCGTTTCCCCCGTTACCATCAGCGGGATCATCTTCCAATTCACTATCATGGTCATCCCTATCACGTAAAACGCGGTTTCCATGCCCAGTTCGACCCCTCTTAGCTGACTGGCCTTGTGATGAAGAGCCTCGGTGGCGATCATATGTAGCAGAATGGCTTGGGCCGCAATATTGAATTAGAGAAGAGGGCTGGTTTTGGCAGTGATTTGGGTACTTTATGAGCACCCAACTGACCACCTCAGTGATACGAAGCTTCAATTCATCGAGCATTTGATACTGATATCTCTGGTTGTGTGTGTTATTAGGAAGCCTAGAGGTGGTGGTACTAGACCCAACTCCCCTTGGTGTAGTCATATCTTGCTCCTTTCCAAATGATCGAATAAAGGGAGAAAATTCCCGGATCACCTGCTCCACCGCTCGTTTCATTTGAGAAGATATTTCCTCAAGGTCTCTCTGTGCTCGTTTTCCATATGCGTCCCGCATTAGATCAGGTATAATTAATGAAGCTGACATCGCACAGTTCTCGCCGTAACTTTGAGAAGATGGGGACTTTGGCATTGTATAAATATTGCGGCCATTTTTTGGGCAAGATAAGTCCCTCAGGGGGGCTGGAAGAGCAGTATAGGAATTAGCTGGACGTTCTCCCTTGATACTATTATCTATCGACTTCCAAGGGGCAGGGAAATCGATGTCATCCGATCTAGGTTGATCGTAGTTGTGCCTACAATCAAGACAGTTTCGTGTAAAGTCTTTGAACAATTCATAAACTTCACTAATCGCAGGCCGATCTTTTGGGCACTCGGCCATCATGCTTAGAATAATATCCAAGTGCTTGGTGGAAAGGTGTTGATCTTCGGTAGAGTCATTATAGTCGTGTGACGGCGATATCAAGCATGCGCTAGTGTGAACTGTTTTTTTGAGGACATATATCCAACCTCTAACATTATAGAGAGACTGGTAGTAACCCTTGGGCTGTCGTTCGAATATAACCTCATTCATTGTCCTCAGGCTTTTCCCAAGGATAACAGTGACCATTTCAAGGAACACACAGCCCAAGGAGAAGATATCAGAAGAAAGATCACGGTCATGCTGGCTCACAACTTCTGGAGGCGCATACCTCTCAGTGAATGGTGTCTGGCCTCCCGTGACAGTCTCGTCCTCATATTGCTTCGATATACCGAAATCAGCTAAGTGAACGGATCCAAATTTATCGACCAGTATGTTCTCCGGCTTGATATCTTTGTGTTTAACGATCCTCGAGGTGTGTAAATACATAACCGCAGACGAAAGGCAGCCGGTGGCAGTCAATAGTATCTGATAGAGTCCCGTTGTCAGTACTGTTTCTGTTCTAGACACGCCTTTTAATAGCTGGCCAAGATTACAGATAGCGAGCGGGTATAAGATGACGCCGAAGTGATTCAATCGTTGGAAATGGCCCACGAAAGCCACAATATGATTATGCTTCAAACCCTTCATAATTTGCAACTCCGTCGGGATTTCACCAGAATCTTCCTGCGTATCTGCTCGAAACAGCTTTATTGCCAAGGCATCAACTGAGCAATCCCCCGTTATACTGAATGCAGCGCCCCAAACGGAGCTCGAGCCACCGTAGTCAACCAGTTGATATCTATCATTTTGATATCGCACATCCCCTGGGACACCCTGCTTCAAACTCGCAATAAGAGGATTCCAGTTCATGAAGCCTTCCCTTTCCCGGAATAGGAACATCCTCGTTTGCGACGTATATGGTGTATTGCTGACTCTCTCCGAAAACGACTCGGTAGAAGAAGCAGGATGGTCCGTTATGCATAACGAGGGTGACGGAGAGCTCGAAGGGGGCGGTGTTGAGGAGAAACTTCGGCCTGGTGCTGATTCTATATCGCTCTCAGGATCTTCGATATCGCTTGGTGTATTGTAGGCTGAATCAATAATGGGGATATGTCGGGAATCCTCCCACGTTAAATTGCCAATGGTGGCCGCTCTTAGGTGTGATATCAAGAGGGTATCGCGAGCGAGACTAGACTTCACCGGCTGCGTCAAAGTCTTTCGGAAATCGACATATTTACCATGTGGTCTACCCATAGCCTTGCGAGCCCATGGCTCCATTTCTATTTCAAATTTAAAAATCTGTGAAAAGGAACAAGACGCTATGACCGGAGAAATCCATATGTCGTTAGCTTTAGTGGTATAGTAGTTCGTCAAGGGGCAAAGTTGTATGCATGAGCGATGGTTGACCTTATACGCTATCACTGTATTCCTTAATATTATCGTGACTACTTTGACGTATTCTTCTCACTTGCATCTTCGGAATGATGCGGACCATAACTCGCATGGATGTTATAACTCGCGAATGCGAGTTATGGCGTTATGCAATGCAACCTGATATGTGTTGCTGACCGTCTCAGCCGCCGAGCCTCATAACTCTCATATGTGTAGCACAGCATTGTTTGGTCCTACATTACATAAAACTCGCCGAAACTCGTTATCTATGTGGCTTAAAATATCGAAGAGTATCATCAATAATAGGATTACCCCTAAGCATACTCTCTTCTTAACCCCCGAACCAAGATACGATTATTTGAATAGTTCCGCTTTTATGACCAACTACCTGATGTTCTATTTTGGATGGCATGGGCAGGATTGCATCTTGTTTGTCTCGTATCTCTTTTTATATCGTACCATTATTTCCAACCCAGTAACAATGAGATGATTTGTGTGGCTTTTTTTCGCAGCCTGTGGCCTAAATTAAGGCAATCACTATATGCATCTCCTTTTATGTTATCGTGTCCTAGTCGATCATAAATGCCCCCTCCCAAAGAAGCTGTATATGGCTCATAGTCTTACCCAACGGTAAACTCGGGCATATTCCGATTCCTGGGCCTAATACTTCTATAATAACAATGGGGTTTATTATAGGATAGGATCACTACTGCTACTAGATTTTCAAGGTACCTAAGCAGATAACTGGATACACTTTCAGCAGTGCTCATCTTGGAAGGCTGTGATATCCAACCTAGTAGGCACCTATTAATACTCAATCCGAAATATGCCTAAACCTAGGTAAATTTTTATTTAACTAGCTGAATAACTGAAAATTAGGACAATGTAGAAATATCTATATTTGAACTAGAAACGTGATAGTACCAAGTAGGAAGTATGATACGATTGTGCAAGTTTATATTGCCCCCTGAATCTGAGGCCGCTTAAGTCGATATCGCAATAACGCGCAGAAAGTTTTACACCCCTGTCGAGTATCGCCGAGACACACTATACCTAATATGGATATTTGGCGCACGTCGCACGGACATCGGAGCGCTGCTGTCTCGCATCTCCGCCCAGAGTCCGCCGATCAGCGACTGCCCACCGCGGGAAAACTTTCATTCCCCCCCAATCCATCCGGAGCTTACGTCGTTCGTCACCAGCCATCTATATATATTTGTTAGTCTGTTGTATAGCATCGAAAATCAAATAAAACATAAAAAAGATAAAAAAATAAATAATAAATAATAAATAAATAAAACCCCCTGAAAAGGAAGAGAAAACAAAAAAATAATGCCGCCAGGAAATCGGCCAAAAGAGATCCACACCAAACACCTCACCGAGCGCGAGCGCTTCCGCGTCCGGACCCTCTACTACGACGCGTCCATGACCAAGAAGCGCATCGAGGAAGTAACCGGCTACTCCCTCAGCCAAATCCGCACCGCCATCCGCGCCAAGTCCTCCGCAATCCCACCGCGTTCCGGCCGTCCCAAAAAAGGTGCCCCCCCTTTTATCCTCAACCCAACCCAACCTCTCCCCTTAATATCTTAGGTAACTAACCAACCACAGCAGGAAAAGACTCCTCCGCAACCGACGACGCCGGCCCCTCCTCAGAGGGCTTCGCGTCGGAGGACTCGGCCCTAATAGCGCCCCGGAGTAACAGTCCCCAGCCCGCCTCATCTCTAGACCGGCTGCCGTCTGTGCTGCGGCGCTACATCTGGCAGTTAGTCCTGACATGTGCGCCCGCGACACATCCGTTATCCTGCGTATGGTGGGTTGAGAAGCTGCCGCAGTACCCGTGGCTGGTGACCGGGGTATTCCCGGAGCACTGGGAGACGCACTGGCGGGAGTACCTCGAGCGCCGGCAGCCCGCGGCGCGGCTGTTATGCCATTTAAACCGGGAGGCGCGGCAGGTTGTTCTCGACACTTTTGTGCCCGTGTGGTCCGAGGCCGGGCTCAGGATGTTAGGGTCTACCGTCAAGTTCCTGTGGATCGACCCGCGGCACGACAAGATCTACTGCAAGGACGATACTGCCGCTTTGCCGGATTTATTGGATAAGTCTCGAGCTGCTGTGCTACCGGATCTAAGCCATTTGCCTACTGGCCCTGCTGATAGTAATAGTAATGACGGCAGCGGTGGCAGTGTCCAAGGGTGAACGCAAGGTACTGTCTTGATCTGTTTCCTGTCACTTTTCCCCATACTTACTAGAGGGGTTACTACGTTGCAACTGTGAAATAACTCTTTGTTCGGGTCGTGAAGCATCATCATGACTTACAGAAACACGTATAGATTTGCATACCCAAGTACTAATGTCAACGGCACTTTATTATTTTACGTGCAAATACTACCAAGCCAATCAAAATCAAAATGTGAGCTCGTCTAGCAGATATATGCCTTGCTGGCCTACCTAGGTCCTAGTCTACCTCGAGGTATTATAACCCAACCAATTCGCAATGAACTCCCCGCCAATGCAACCATGTCTCATAATCCACGACGCAAGAAATCGGGGTATATCAGGATCGTATGGTAGGTACTCATCAGTACTAATGTGAAGCTTGCCCACCGTTGATAGGAGACGCTTCGGCCGAGTCGAACGCTACACCTTCAATCATCTCAAAATCCTGGCTCGCGCTCCGAGAATTATTAGCCTCAAGTTTATGACGCTGCGGCACATCAACTAGGTCATCTTTTATCTCATCTCGAACGTACGCAACGTAATATGGATCTCCCGTCTCGTTCAGGTCGCTTAGCACAGCTTCTGTGCCGCGGTTATCTTCCGTCACCGTCTCGTCGTTGTATCGATACCAGACATTGCGTTTGAAGTCTCGAATCCAGACCCAATAATGCCCCGCAGACGTACCACCGCGGTGACAGATTACAGCGTGGATGCTGTATTTCTCCTTCTGCATGGCGTCGAAAATTGTCTCCTCTTTCTGACGTAGGTAGAGAAGTTCTTTTCTAAGCATCTCATCGAAAGGCTCAGTAGCCTCCCAGGACATATCAGCGAACCTATCGCAGAAGGAATGATCAATAAATGACACCGGGGCGGCTATCTTCTTGGATGGTCCATATTCCAGCGGTTCGGATAACTTGTGTTTCAGTCCCAAGTCGTCGGAGAATGCTTGCTGCACATGCGCATCCTCGGCATTGTCGAGGGCAGACGTTATCATAGCCGCTATGTCCTCGTTATCTGCTTCCTTAAATTCCTTAGTCCATGTTAGCACTCTCATCACGCTTTAAACCAAGTGTTGGGAATATCACGAACATTATACTGTTGAGGTTGTGCAGGGACGTCTCGAACATCCTGCGAGGGTTTGGCCTCAAGCTCCTTTATGCGCTCCTTGTACGCCCACGATATTTTGCGGGCAAGCCACACTGACGATCCCTTCTCAGCCTCCATATAACGATCGAGGCATAAAGTCTCCGGTATGATGACGGGATTCTTGTTCTTCCCCTTCGGTGTGCTTCTTTGAATGCAGATATGTAGAATGGGAGGGAGGGATCTAATGCTACTATAACGTGCACGATCCCCGCTATCGATTGGCTCATAAGCGAAGTACCGATCCAAGGCGGCAAGCAATGTACATTGCACATTGTTCGCTCCGCTTGCGTTACCATTCGTCCCCTCCGGCGCTTGAATGGCTTCCTCGGGGTACGCTGTGATCCACCGCTCCGGAACAATCTCGACGTTCAACGGATCCTCTTCTAGGTGAGAGACCACATCGCTATCCGGGTTTCTCTTGCTAGTCTTAACGGTATAATTAACTATCGTAGTAAAGAACGTCTCCGTAATCTTGTCTGCTTGTAAATCCGGCTTTTCCGGCATGGGGCCGTCCGGACGAATTGCCCGCATGAAATGCTCGAGTATATTGCCGATAATTTCTCCGACATCCTGCTGCTCTGTCCCTGATCTATCCGAGCGTTCTAGCTGACGCGAAACTTCTGCCATTTTATCGTCGAGGGTCCAGGATTCAATTGAGTCTTGCATCGTGACATCATCTTGAGACTGCAGAATAACCGGGGCATTGTCATCCGGGGTTTCCAACTGAACGTACGACATCGGTGCATCTCCCCCGTCATCAACCAGCGTTTGAGAACTCTGTGAACTAGCCATTTCGAGTTTATCATTCACCGACTCCACTGTGATGCTCACCGTATCGTTGGTCGCTTCATTCGTTGCATCGGGATTATCCTTGGAGAACACCGGGGGTGCTGGCGACGGGCGTGCTGGCAGTGGCGGAGGCATATTCTGGGATCGTTGATCTAGAATGTCTCTGGCTGATGATAGTGCAGTGTTTGCAAGTTTCTGCGAAGGCTGTGCGGCGGCTTCGGTAGTTGTTTGTAAATCGGTAAATAATCCTTGAAGCATCTCGACAACTGTCTATGGGTTAGCACCTCCTAGCAAAGATAGCAAACGATGAGTCGCTCACATTGTCTGGCGATGATGGCTTCTTCGATATTAACGCTAGTGCCATTTCCTCCCGTCCGACGTTGCCCAACCGTCTCTTCGTCAAGGTCAAGCTTCACCGAATCGAAATTCAGGACTATATCGCGTATGATCTTGACGTTATAGAAATATTGCAAAAGACTATTTAAGTAGCACGTGTTGCCGATGTTTTTTAGACCAGGGGGTGCATTAACGGAGTTTCCTGGTATTGGTGACGCGTGAGGTTGGGATGTTAGCATCGGTGCGTACCCAGTCATCTTGACGAAGTCGGCAATCTGCTGCAGCTCTGCGGCTTCTTCAGGTTTATCTTGTTGTCGCTTAAGTTCAGATAGGACATCGATAGCTTCAACGATCTTAGTTTTGTCTGCGTTTTCGTCCTGGTGTGATATTAGAAAGATAACAAGTAGAAGCATCAAAAATAAATATTTACCTGCACCCGTTGTTGGACAAAGCCCCGAATAATTTCTGCCGTCCATTCTGACTCCACACCCAGGAGGTTGGTTGCCGAGGAAATGCTCATTTTCCCCCCCAAAACATTAGGAAGCGACGTCATGAGTCCTGACTCCCCTGTTGTTCTTGGAGCTTTAAGATCGATTGCACTCACAAGATCCCTTCCCAGGTAGCGACCAATGGCCTCGAGATGTTGTTGGGCTTGGGCCTTGAACTCATCAGTCTTGTCATATTTTGCCATCTCGTAGTACTTCGCCAAAAACCAATCCGACGTCGCGTCATCATGGGGAGAGGCGTGGAAGAACGCAAAAGCCTCCTGTACCATCATGTCAATAGGGGATGTCTCGTCAAAGCGGGACCTGTACATGATGATCTCAGTTGATGCATCATCGCTACGATTCTGAATGCAGCGCAGGGCGGCATCTAAATATTCGTCACGGTACCTGGGGCGCAGCCCAGCTAAGAGAATAGCAGCCCAGCTGAAATATAGAGGTGGGTACATTGCTAGACAGCCCAGTAGTGCCAAGTCTGGTTCTGTGACTGTAGAGATATTCGCGTCGACCGGCCCGTTAGGAAAATCTCCTTGAAATACCTGCAGCAGTTTATCCCAAGCAGGGACTGTTGTCTCGCTGTTAAGGATGTCGAGCTCTACTTGCGCATCCTCCATCCGAGCTCGTAGCGTTCCGATTAGGGTCGGGTCCTGTTCCTTGTCAGGGGGGGTAATGAGCCAACATGGCTCGCCAGTCTCGGCGTCTGCTCCTTCGCAAAACCCCAAGAATTTCAGGAGGTGATCGAAATCACTACCCATACACACGGAGAACTTCTTGTTGCGCTTATTAATCCTTAACGGCTGATCACTAGTAGACTGGAGTGCGTCTGTAAGGTATCTGCGGAGTATAGTTTCTGATTTCATCGTTGGTACTTCGTTGAAGTCCGAGTATCGTTCTGGATCCCCCTCTTTTGCAAGGATTAGATTTCGTGTAGTTCGGTCATTGTCATAGAACTTAGCCACATCTTCCGGCGGAATCCTACAAGGTAGGACGGATATCTCCACGTTGAATAGGCATTGATCAGCCACACAGATGTACCGAGCATAGCCAACCGTATCATCGTAAATCACCCGGTTTTCCCTAAGGTCATCCGCAGATTTTCGAGAACAAGGAACGAGCATATGATGGCGATGCTCGTCATTATACGGCTGAACAGGTTTGAAATTGCTCTGAACGTGGAAATGGTAGCGGCATCGACAACAAACAGTAGAAACAAAGCAGGTATTTTGGTCTCGGAATGACTGGGTTGCAACCAGCTGCATTTCATGACTTGTGCAATGAAAGTTAAAGTCAAGATCCGGCAGCTGAGAACCGAGGAACTGGCGAAATAAGCGAGGAGATGTGAGGGCTGAGACATATCAGCAGTGCTTCATTAAATCAAAATAGCTCTACGGGCACGTATAAAAACTCACGTTGAGGATTTGGTAGGTGTTGTAAATTACGTATCGCTACCGACTGGAGTTGGCGGAGCTCTGCCGCATCATCTAGCTCATCGATAGAGGCCATGGTATGAACTAATCCCCTAAAGTTATACAATCCAAGAGGCGGAAGTTGATCAGAGTGATCAGCTTGAACAGCTTGATTCAATCTAAGCGCGTTGCTGAACAAGACCTTGCGCTGTGGGCGCTTTTTGCTTTTGCGTGTTAGAAAAGACATCATAAGGGTGATTGCCGTTAAAGAGTAGAGAAGATTTGGGATTTAGGCAGTAAGCAGTGACTGAAGGGCAAGCACGAGGAGATGCAGAAATATCAAAAGCGTAGACCAACCTCGTTAATATAGGAAAATCTAGAATAGAGTCCACATGAGTGCTCTACTTGCAATGCAAAGTTTATCTCTAGCTTAGGGCGATGCCACCCTAGCCTGCTGGTTTAGATATCGGACGTGAGTAGGGCTGGTCGCAGTCCCTATAGCATGTGCATTAGCAGAAGACTTATAGCTATGGTAACAGATTAAAGTAAAAGAGAGTCCTGGTCCAAGCACTTCCTCCTTGCATCGAGTACACTTGTACGCTCGAGCTCTATACATAGTTCCCTTAGCCCTTATCTCAAGTCTAGAGTATAGAGCTGCTTTCATGACAGAAAGGGGTTAAGTTCGACTATTGCCCCTTTTCCTCCCAACAGATGGACTAAATCCAATACTGATCCATAGAGTTCGTCGATGACAGTCCAACATCCGATACTGAGATCCTAGGACAGGTGCCAACCATTT